CTGCACAGCCTTTTTTGCTTAGGTGCTTGTATCTAAGGCTCCTCCGTGGCTTCTGCCATTATGCAATATTCCATCCAGATCCTACAGCTGTTTATCCATGTTCACCTCTGGGAGGATTTCTTGGTTGTTTTCCTGACTTACTAGTCACAAATGCAGCAGCTACTATGTGTATCCTTATGAAAGGCCCTGTGTGGGTATTCCTGTTTGCCTCATTTGAAGGAGGGAGTGTTGGATAGTATGGGAAGGGTAGGGATTAGTTTTACAAGAAAATGGCAAGCTGATTTGTAAAGTGGCTCTTTTGTTCATTATTCCCACCAGCAAAAAGTGAGAGGTTTTGACACTTCTCAAGAGTAAAACTAATTAAGTCTTACAAAATTTAAAGAATACAACTTGCATTTCCATGATGATTAGGGATGTGGAACACCTTTAAAAATAGTTATTGGTCATTTGAGTTTCTTCTTTTAAAAAGTGTCTGCTTATTTTGTTAGCTCATTTGTTGACTGGCAGTTTTATGTCCTTGATGTTTAATTTCTGCAGTTCTTTGTAAGTTCTGGGTATTAGCCCACTGTATGATACATAGCTGGGAAAGACTCCCCCAGCTCTGTGAGCTCTTTCTTTGCTCTGCTGATGGCCTCTTTGCTGTGCAGAAATGTTTTAATTTCAGTAGTCATATCTGCTGATACTTGGAGATGATTCTTGTGCTATTCAAATTCTGTTCAGAAAGTTCTTGCCTACCCCAGTGTCTGGAAGAGTATTTCCTATGTCTTCCCTTAGCAGAGTTAACTTTTAAATCGAGGTCTTTGATCCACTTTGAGCTGATTTCTGCAAAGGTGGAGGACGTGGATGTAACTTCTTTCTTCCGCAGGTGGAGGTTCTCTTTTGCTAGGACCAGTTCCACTGTTGACTACACCACATCTTCCCACTGCTTTGCCTCCTTCGTCATAGGCCATAGCCTCGTTGGTTTATTTATGGGCCTCTGTTCTGTTCCTTTGGTCTACCTGCCTGTTTTCATGCCAGTACCAGGCTGACTTTTTCATGCTAACTCTGTGGTGTAATTTGAGGGCAGGTGTTGTGCTCTGCTCTCCATGGTGCTCCCCAGCTGTGCTCCTACTCCTTAGGATTGCTTTGTATATTCATGATCTTTTACGGTTCCATATGAAATCTTGGATAGTTTTTTTCTAGATCTGTGGTGTGACATTTGAATGTTGATGGTTCTTCATGGAACCACCTTAGTCAGACTGGCAGCCATCACAAAATCTGACAACAAATGATAGAGAGGATGTGGGGAAAGAGGAACCATTGTTCATTGCTGATGGCAGTCAGTATTAATGTAGCCATTACAGAAATCAGGTCAGGGTTTCCTCAAAATATTAAAAAATTGGGTGCTTGAGGCATGGCTCAGTGGTTAAGTGCACTGTCTACTCCTCCAGAGGACCTGGGTTTAGTTCCTAGCACTCACACATAGCTAATAACCATCCATAACTCCAGTTCCAGAGGATCTGATGCCATCTTCTGGCATCCCCTGGTAGTGTGTTGTATAGGTGCGCTTATATACATGCAGACAAAACACTCATATGCATAATGCAAAAATTAAGTCAAAACCAATTTTTAAATTAAAAAATTAAGAAAATATATAAATACCATTTGACCCAGCTGTACCACTCCTGGGCATGCACCCAAGGAACTCCGTATCTTACCACAGAGGGACTTGTACGTCGTGTTTTCTGTTGTTCTATTTATGAGAGCAAAACAATGGAATCAATCTAGAAGCCATGAACAGATTAATATATAATGAAAATGTGGTACACAGACAAAATGGAATATTACTGAGCTGTAAAGAAAAATGAAATCGGGACTGGAGAGATGGTTCAGTGGTTAAGACCACTGATTGTTCTTGCAGAGGACCTGGGTTTGGTTCCTAGCACCCACATGATGGCTAACAGCCATCCATAACTTCAGTTCCAGGGGATTTGATACCCTCTTCTGACCTCTTTGGGCATTGCATGACACGAGTGCACTTACTTACACATTAAATAAAAGTAATAAATAAAATATTTTTAAAAATATCAGCCGGGCGTGGTGGTGCACACTTGGGAGGCAGAGGCAGGCGGATCTTTGTGAGTTTGAGGTCAGCCTGGTCTGCAGAGCAAGTTCCAGGTCAGCTGGGACTACAGGGAGACCCTATCTCAAAAAGACAAAAAATATCCCCCCCAAAACAAATATCTTTGCCTTTCCATATAGATATTGGGACCAGCTTGTTGATCTCTCTAGAAAAATTCTTCTGGTCTTTCTGTGGGACTTGCACTGAATTTCTAGGCTGCTTGAAGGCATTTTTCACTTAGAAGTTTTGAGTCTTATAAGTATTTCCATTTACCAGGTCTTCTTTGACTTATTAATGTTTTATAGTTTTCAATAAACAGACCCTACACGCATTTTAATTTTATAAATAGTACTGTTTTAAAATATTTGATTTCTAATTACTGATTGTTATTTCATAGAAATATAATTGATTTTATATATTGACCTTGTATCTTATGACACTGCTAATAATGGTGACTGTCAAATGTTGAACCAACCTTACACGCAGAGGATAAACTCCATCTGTCACCATGCTCTGCCTTTCTACTCAGTGCTAGCTGTGATTTGCTGGCGTTTTTCTGTGTGGTTCAGGCTGACCGGAATCTCAGCTTCCTGCCCCCAGCCCACTGAGATTCCATATGTGTCCCAGCACGCTCTTTATAGAGCTCCTGAGTCTAGCATCATGAAGGATCTCATTCTGTAGTTTTCTTCTACTTAAAAACGGGCTTGGTATTTATGAATGCTGGTCTCATATCATAACTTGAACGTTCCCTTCTTTTTGTATTGTCTGGAAGACATGTTGAAATGGTATTAATTCTTCCTCTAGATTTTGCTAGAAGTTACCCCTGAAGCCATCTGAACTCAGAAGTTTTGCTATTTAAAATAATTTAAATTTTTTGTGAATTTCATACTTGAGTATTATAATTGATTCACTTCCCCTCCTCCAAGTTGCCCCTCCAACTCCTCCTGTGTCTCCCAACTCCGTCTCAATTTCTTATCCTCTTTGAGTATTGTTACATATATCTATGTGTGTGTGAATATATATATATATATGTGTGTGTGTGTGTGTACACACACACACATATATGTATGTATATACTGCACTGAGTTCATTTAGTGGTGCTCTTGCATACCTGTATTTAGGACTGCCCACTTGGGATTAGATAACAAGGAGTTAGTCCCTGAAGAAAATGAATTCCCCCCGCTTCAGCATCCATTGGTTGCGTATAGCTCTTCATCCTGAGGTGGGGCCCTGTGAAAATTCCCCCATCCACCTTGGCATGTCGACTGGTTCTGTCATTAAGAAGATCTTGTTAGGCTATCATACTGTGGTGATTTCATCAGTGTAGGCTCCCTACCATGTCAAGAATCCATTAGCCAACAGCAGGCATCTTGTTCTTCTGGCTCTTAGAATCTTTCCATCCTCTCTTCCATGATGTTCCCTGAGGTGTGGAGGTGGCATTGCAGATCTAACAGCTAGAACTGGGCATCTCACAGTCTCTGCACTTTGGACAGTTGTGGAACTTTGTAATTGTCTCCATCTGTTGAACAAAAATGATGCTTCTTTTACTTTTCTGACAGGATCTCCCTAGTCCTGGCCTGCCTGGAACTCACTATGTGGACCAGGCTGGCCTCGATCTCACAGAGATCCACCTGCCTCTGCCTCCCAAGGCCAGGATTAAAGGCACATGCCACCACACCTAGGGTAAAAAGATGCTTCTTTGATGACTGGAGTGAGCTATACTTATCTGTGGGTACGTGGATACAAATTTAGAATATGCTGATGACAGGACATGCTTTGGACATGGGACTTGGAGCAACTGACCTGGAACTGACCAGGAAGCCTCCCTGAAGTCTAGCCTCATAGTGTCAGAGGATACTATGGAGCTTTCAAAGGAGAGAACCAATCAGTGGTCCTACCTGGTTGGAAAGCCTGTGAACCACAACAACGACCAGCAGAGCAAATTACATCTATTGGTAAAATAGTGGCACTTTTATCTTGGGGGTAATCAACAGCTGTCTAATGGGACGTATAGCCTGCTCAGGAGGAGGAAATCCATGCGTGGTACTGCAAACATGGCCAAGTTTACACTGCTGGAGAGGTCAGAGATCCCAGAGAAGAACCTGCTGTTGGCTGTGGAGGTTTTAACTCCTTTAGTAGCTGCTCTTTGGGTTTTCAATCTCTTCTTGAAAACGTTTTAGTAGATTTTTTCCCACTTCAAGTGCTTGGCGCATTTCACTAAGTCGTTGGTAGGTGACACACGTGGCCATGCTGACCCTTGCTGCCTGCCCTACATGTGTAAGATTGTAATGATGCAGCGTCTTTCCTTTTCAATATTGATGATATTGATAACCTCTTCCGGCCGTGCATTCTTTCCAGTCTCTTCCCCTCTCGTCAGTTTTCTAGAGCGCTGTTCATTTAATTGATCGTTTCAAAGAATCAGTTTTCGGAGGAATTCGCCCTCTTTTCAGAGTTTTTTTCAGGATCCATGCTTAGGGCCCTCTAGGAACCTTTGTGAGTCAATGGTGATGCTGATTCCTTTAGATGGTCCCTTCCCCAAACCCTTTACGTGCCTGCCGCCTGCAGCATTCCAGTAATGTCCACTGTGGCTTCCCTTTTCAAGACAATGCCTGCATGCTGTAAAAACCGAGACCCACCAGCAGCCTGCACTACGCACACAGAGAAACTGAGCTTGACCTCGTCAAGAACTGCGTTTCCCTGTCAGTGTACTGATCATCAGCATGAGCTAACTTAGCGACTAGTCTGCATTAGCCGGATGCTTGGCCTCTGGGGCTGCACAGTACATACTGCCAATGCGACTCCTGCCCTTGCGGCCGTGCCAACACGTCTTTGTGCTATTTGATCAGTGCCCGCAGGTAAACAGGGCTATGCTTCTTACAGAGTTCTCTTCACTTCCCAGGTTCACATTGATGCTGTAGATCGTTCCACGGGGAAAGTTGTGGACGAATCCTTGATTTTCAACATTAGGATCAGAGATGTGAATGATCACGCGCCCCAGTTTCTGGAGAATGAATTTAACATCAGTGTGAAAGAGAACCAAGCTCCAGGTGTGTGTCAGGACGGGGGTTGCTGCAGGGGACGCTGTGCATAGTTTCTATTTTTCCTGCTTTAGTGTTGATGGGGACTTTGATCCTGGCCAGCTCAAGGAGACTTTTCTTTGCTGGCATCTGAAAGGTTGCTGGCCCCAGATCACCAGAGATTTTATTCTCTCAGCCTCATTTTGTGTTGCCAGTGGAAACAGTGTCATCTGGGAGATGGTTACCTAACAAAAGCCACACACTGACGGACGGAGACGGGGCTGTGGGACGGGACAGACGTAGGAAGGGGCAGAGACGGGGCTCCTGGGGAGCGATGCAAGTGTTTCACCTGCAGAACGGAGGCACAATAAGAGCTGGTTTCTGGGCTTCAGAGATTAAATCTCTACAAGCTAAACTGCTCTTTGTAGGAGAACCTATTTTTATAGTAGAAAAGCATTATTTAATATTGCAAAATAGTTCTTGTGAAATTCTAAGAAGCAGCCAGGCGTGGTGGCACACGCCTTTAATCCCAGCACTCAGGAGGCAGAGGCAGGCAGATCTCTGTGAGTTCAAGACCAGCCTGGTCTACATAGTGAGTTCCAGGCCAGCTGGGACTACTGGGAGACTTTGTCTCAAAAAGAGAGAGGAAAAAAAAATTCTAAGAAGCAAACAGATGGAAATACAAAGTGCTTTCAGCGCACCGGCAGATGGGCACCATGAGGCTTTATTTGCATTTTGTTTGTTTTATGTGAATTTATTCATTTCCATCTTCTGTCTATGAATGCAGATTCATTTTCACATATGTGCATTTTCTTTATCATTGTAGGAAGTATACACGGGCATGCACTAATGTTTTAGTATTTACAGGTATCGATATCCCTTTCTATATGTACTTAGCTCCTCTTTAGAAAAGCGCCTCTGGGGCCAGTGAGATGGTTCAGAGGTAAAGCAGTTGCCGTGCAAGCTTGACGACCTGCGTTCAATCCCCAGAGCACACGTGAAGGTAGAGGGAGAGACAACTCCATGAAGTTGTGCTACAACTGACACGTGTACCATGGTGTGTGCATCCACACACACATCAGGCACACACAGCAACAGCAGTACTTAAAAAGGCATCTCCTGTGCATAACCTACAGCTTTTCCCACAAGTCTTATACAGAAGCTTCTTGGAGAAGCTTTGTGGTGTCTCACCAATCTCCTGTTTTGACTGTTTGGCTGATGCTTCTTTCATTTTTGTAAAGTGCATTTTGATGAACGTGTTTTAATTAACATGTGCCCCAGTCAAGAATCATTTGCTTTGCACGAACTCGGGGCAGGAGAGTTGCTGGGTCAAGTGGCCCGTAGAATTGAGGTGTTGCAAGCTGTTCACTTGCCTGCCACATCCAGACAGTCCGCGTTCGGTTTGTAGCTCTTTCTCATCACTGCTAAGCATTTTCCTACATTCTTAGCCTCATCGATCTTTTTTAATCAGTTGCTTGGTTATTGCTTTTATCCATTTTTTCTGATAGTCTGTCATTTTTCTACTTGATCACAACCTCTCTTTCTATATGAAGATCACCTACCTGCCATACATATTCCAAATATATCTCCCAGGTCATCGTTGAGTTTTAAACTTTGTCTGTAGTTTTCTTTCTTGCACATTTAAAAACTCGATCTGATCTATTGATGTTGTCCGGAACTCTTCTGCATTGGCAATCATGATTAGAACCTCTTGAACTTTATAGTTACTTAAATACCCATCTTTTTGCATGCTCTGTCTACATGCTGATTTCTCATTTAAATACTTCCCTCATCCTGGTGTGTGCACTCATGCCATTTAGTCAACTCTGTCCTCTCACTGGTGTGATAAACCTCCTTTAGCTAGCAGTAACATTCTTAAAAATTTCTTTCTAGGTCAACCTATTTTTCAGGTGTTAACAGTTGATTTGGATCAAGAAAACACTCCAAATTCTCAAGTCCTTTATTTCATCATTTCTCAAACACCGTTACTGAGAGAATGTGGCTTCCGGATTGATCTCATCAGTGGGGAAATACGACTTTCAGGATGCTTAGATTATGAGGTTATGTAGATTTTATTACTCTAAAACCATGAGGTCTGAGGAAATAGCTCTGTTAATAAAAGTTCTTGCTACATAAGCACGAAGACCTGGGTTCAATCCCTAGAACCCGTGTTTAAAACAAAACTGGGTGTTGCAGCATGAGCCTGTCATCCCGGAGCTGGGGAGGTGCAGACAGGAGATCACTAGGGCTGCATGGCAGTGAGTCTAGGCAAATCAGCGAGTTCCAGGTTCAGTAAGAGACCTTGTCTCAAAAGTCCAGGTAGACAGTGCCTAAGAGGCAACACCCAAGGTTGATTTCTGGCCTATGCCCACACACATACACGCACACACAGATACTCCCCTCAGAAATATACAACACACAGAAACACTTCCCACAGAAATATATAGCACATACACAGACACATGCACCACACACACAGACAGATATACAGCACACACACAGACACCCACAGAATATACAACATGCACACATAGATATACAGATGCAGAAACATGCACACACACATACACACTCAAAGACATCCCCACACATACACACAGAGACACCCCACACACAGACACAGACATACCCCCCCACAAATACACACCATACATATAGACACACACCATACACATGTACACACCCTCAGCAGAGATCTACACAAACACAGACACATACACACAGGACACATACATATACAAACACAGATACACACACGTATGACACAGAAACACATATACCACAAACATACACACACACAAAGCATACAGATACACACAGACACAGCCCCCCCCATTTTTGAGCCCCAGACTGGGGTCTACATTTGCGGTTGAGAGTCTTTCTGTGGCTAAGCCTTGCTATGGAAATTGCTAGAAGGAAATTGTTTGTTAATGTATCTCGCTCCTTTGTTTACAGGGTTTAATATTACTTTTCTCTTCACATAGACTTCTCCTCGGTTCACACTGCTAATCAAAGCAAGGGATTGTGGGGAGCCACCCCTGTCGTCCACAGCCACCATCCACATCACCGTGGAAGAAGGCAACAACCATATGCCCACGTTTACCTGGGACCATGTAAGGCATCCGGGCTTTCTGAATTCCAAGACCTAGCATAAGCGGTTCACCCGTCCCAGGCTTAGGGAGTGCTGCTATGTCATGAGCAAGATACTCACAATTCTCCAAAGTTACCTACACTAGCAGGAAGAAGCCCAGCTAGGACCAGGGAGGCGGCTCAGCAGTAAAGTGCTTGCGGACTTGAGTTTGAGCCTCAACATCCAGGTGAAAAGCCAGGCATGGGGGTGTGCACTGGAGACACACAGATCCATGGGGCTTATTAGACAGCCATTCCACCCTAATGGGTGAGCCCTAGGTCGCAATGAGAAATCCTTAAAAAAGCAAGGTTGGGACTTGTCAGATGGCTCAGTGGGTAAAGGGCCTAGCTGCCATCCCAACAACTTGAATTTGATCCCTGGAACCCACATGGGAAGAAAAACACCTATGAGTTGTGCACATATGTGCACACACACACACACACACACACACACTTCTAGATTCTGAGAAAGGTTTTCCCTGACGATCCAGTTAACACCCCTGCACCCATCCTAGACACTCTAAGCTCTCCAGTTCTTTCTTCTTTACAGTGTTCTATTTAATGAATTTATTTGCTACATTTGTTGTCTAAATCTCCTCCCCCCACCTCTCTTTCATGCACACACACACACACACACATGATTGCCAACTCCCTAGGGACAATATTTTTTGTCAGTGCACAGTGACTATTGTTGCATTAATAATTCAACCAATTAATTTTAAAATGTGTCATTTAAATTTTTTTTAATTACGTAAGCCAACATGGAATGGTTTGGGATGAAACCCTGAGGTTTATACAACTGGAAAAATAATATTGCAATTGGCCCTCGTGTCAGAATTCTTCCCTGGGTTAGGAAAATACTTGCTCTCAAAAGGAAGCCTGGAGAAAAACTACATCTCATCTTTGCTTGTTTACAGACATTGTCACCAAAGATATTGAAAAGCAAGCTATTTCAAAGAACTGCATCTGCTAGAGAAACGGTCATTCTGATCCAAATAGCCACACTTCCCCCTGTTGTAGAAATCAAGGAACCCTGGAGTGCATAGACTGGGACACATGTTATATTTTTTAAAATCTCAGAAAAACAGTGCATTGAGTTGGTTCCAAGAGCTCTTTTAAAGTCATCCAATCATGGACACAAAATCCCAGGGAAGGGCTTTGGCAGGAGGACCCGGCTGCTTATCGATTGCTGTTTCTACTGTAACTGGCAGAGTTCCAAGTGTGTGCGGTCAAGGGTGCTGACTGAGGACCAGCACTTCCCTTCCTGCCTCCTCTCTCTCCCTGACCTCCCTTCTCCATGGCGATTCTTTGTGTCTGTGACATGGAAATGATTTCCTCTTCCAGTTTAAGATTCAGATTTCTGAAGGTCCAATGGAACAGGGCGTGCTGCGGCTTCCAGTGGAAGATGGAGATTCACCATTTACACCGGCTTGGAGAGCAAAGTTGGACATAGTGGATGGTGACAAGGAGGGACATTTTGACATTGTAACTGATCCTGAGACCAACCATGGTGTGTTAAATGTTATCAAGGTAAAAAGACCAACAGGCCATGTGGCAATAGTTGCCCTGGTCCTCCTTTGTAGAGCAAGCCGCTAAGGGCTGAGGGGCTGATGCCTGCCAAACAGTCATTGGGTGCTTGCTGAGCATGTACTGTGTGCCACGTGCCACCCTTAGAAAAGCACAATGTTCCCAGAACCCTGTGTGTACTGGCCAAGAGCTCCACCAGCCCAGTTAATATCAAATGTTATTTTTGATGTCTCTAAATGTTTCAACTTTTTGTAGTAGGGAAAATTTCATACATTTTCATAAGTAAAATCTTCATTTTTCTGGTGTGATAAAGGATGAAAATGTTTTATATTTTTATTACTTATTGATTGATTGGTTGATTTGGACAGGGTCTCAAGTATCTTAGACTGGCCTTGAACTCTCTCTGTAGCTGAGGATGACCTTGAATTCTGATCCTCCTGCTCCACCTCTGCTGTGCTGGGATTGTAGGCGTGCACCACCACACCATTTACACAGTGCTAGGGGATCAAATCCAGAGAGCTTCGTGCATGCTAGGCAAGCATGCTACCAACTGAAGTGCATGCTTAGCTCCTTGGAAATGTTCTTTTCAACCTAAAACTTCTCTCTTTATACAACTCTCTTGAGATTTAAACATTTTAAACTTTTAAATGTAAAAGAAAGTGAAACATTTGTGTGGCCTGTAGCTGTGTGATGAACCTGGGACTTACTGTGCCTAACAGAGCCGCTGGCCTTGGAGGAAAGTAGTACCATAGTATTTTACTGATGAGGAGACCAAAGGCCATAGCACGTGGATCCTTTACATAAACTCACACAGCCAAGAGGAGAGGAGTCAGGATCCTACAGGGGCAGCCTGACACCAGTGGCTATAGTCTTCTAGACCTTAAGGGAGACCTCAGAATGGCCAGTGCCTTTAGCTCAGTGTGGAAGAGCCAACTGGGTCAGTACATCTGGGTGGGACCCCAAAAGTCTGCATGGCAGTTAATCAAGCTCCATTTTACACACTGAATAACAAGACTCTGTCAACTCGCTACCCTGGTATCTGTCATTGAATTTTCCCCACCCCCAGTCCTTTCAAGTCTCTGGCCACTTTGTACCCTGAGTAACTATGATCATTAGAATCTGTATTTCTCTAAGTTCTGTGGTGCAGCTATCACTTGAATGTTTCATGAAGTCATGGTTTTGTTGTATTTCTCATCAATGACAGAGGGTGCTTCTGTGCATCCAGGAGAGGAGGAGAGAAGTGAACCCCATAAGTGATTTGAAAGGGAGCTGAAGCTGGCTTTTGATCAGTTCCCTCCTCTGGCTGGGTTCCTGATGACTCTGCTGAGCGTCCTCCAGCACGCAGAATAGAAGGTACTAATCAAAGCCTCTCCTGCCTTTGCAGCCTTTGGATTATGAAACTCAGGCGGCTTACAACCTTGTCATTGCTGTGGAGAACCAGGAGCAACTCTTCTCCTGTGAGGAGGGCCGGCTACAGCCGTGGAGGAAGGCGGTGGCCAGCGCCACAGTGAGCGTGCAGGTGGTGGACACCAACGACCCACCTGCCTTTCACCCCCAGACCTTCATCGTCAGCACAGAGGATGGAGCCAGGCCTGGGATCCAGCTGGGAGCTTTCAATGCTACAGACCCAGACAGCGCTGCTGGTCAGATAAGGTGGGCATGGAGGGGTGGGAAGGATAGCTCCGCAGGACTAGCCCTGGCTGCACACCCACAGAACTGTTGGCCACCTGGTTTCTGGGGTGTGTTCTTGAGGCTGGTTCCATCTCAGGGATGAAATCCTGATGAATGCCCACTGGCTGGTTAACCTAATGGCAGTGCTCACCCTGCAGCTCCTCCACCATCCAGACAATTCATCTGTTTCCCTTCCTTTGCAGGTTCATAGTCGTTTTGTATGAAAGTAATTTGTTACATGTTTCTATGTCCTTCACCCGAAGTCACACCAGCAGCTCTCTTGCTGCTGGACAAACATTTAAAATTAGTATTTAATGTTTTAAATGGAAGAACTAATGTTTGAAATACTTTGGGTAAGGTGTATATAACATTTCCCATTCAACCATCTTTTAATTTGTGTTTCTGTATATAACCCAGCTGACCTGGAACTCACTGTGTAGACCAGGCTGGCCTTGATCTCACAGAGATCTACCTGCCTCTTCCTCCCCAGTGCTGGGATTAAAGGTGTGCACCACCACACCTGACTCATTTTGAGGGTGTGGTCAGTGGCACTGAACATATTCACAGGATTAGGGGATCATCGCCATCCACCTCCAGAATGCTTCTCATCTTGCCAAAGCTCTGTACCCATTAAAAAATGAACTCCCCAGTCCCCTTCCCCAGGGCCCTGCCCTGGGCCCCTGGAAGGCACTACCCCACTTTCAGTTCCTGTGTTTTGAGCACTCCAGAGCCCTGGTTCAAGTGGAGTTCTAGAGCATTCTTCTCCAGCAGTGGACTTTTCCTTAGCTAGCTATTGACCTCAGACCCAGCCATGCCATGCCACCTACTCTGTCACCTGCTTGGTACCTGTTTGCACTTGATTTTAGGATACCTCTTTAGAGCAAGCCTTTTCAATATACCTGTTGGGAAGGCCATCTTTTAAAATTTGATCAATTCATTACAGTGTGATAATTTTGTGAATATGATAAAAATGATCAGAGCACACATCCCAGGCTGGAAAGATACAGCCGTACCATGGGCTGCCCACATTCCTCAGCACTGGCTCTTGGTCTTTCAAAGAGATCATAAAGAGTTCCACAGATGACATCGTGCATGCTGTGCACATGGGGTTAGTACAGAAATTAGCCCAGCAATCTGTAGCCACTGAGCCGAACGGAGATCCTGAGAGGTAGATTCCTGAGCCCGCCCCCTTAACTTCTGATTTACAGGTTGGGGATGATTTTCATGTTTAGGACGTTCCCAGTTGATATTGATGCTACTGGTCAACAGACGGATCAGTTTTGGGGACCACTGATAGAGCGAGTCTCTACCTTCTTCTCTCTGCTGCTCAGTCCTGTCTTCTGAGTATGGGGAGTTTGCCAAAAGATCTTGATAAACGTTTAGAAGGCACTAAAGTGAAGAATTCGCAGTCCGTTTGCTGTGGTGTCAGATAGCACTTATCCAAGGTGTTGGTTGAGAGTCTTCTGAGGCAGGGTAGAGGCGAGGTCTAGTGAACACGGTTTGTTTTGTTTCGGTTGCCTAACCGGCTAACCGGCATCAGCTTCCTTTCATGTCCCAACTTGCCTTGAGGGCTCTTTTGGCTTGATATGACCCTCAGATGAACTGAATTTCTACCTTTGGTTTATAAACAATGTTACAACCATAGGAACTTCTGGAACCTTCTCTAAGTGGTGAAGTAGTGTATGGGAAAACTTTAGTCCCTTTAAAAGCCGTGGCTCACTGAGTATCAAAGAGCGCTCACTCTGGGCCTTTTGAAAGTGTTTCCACAGGTGAGAAGGCCCAAGGCAGCTGCCTGCCTCTGAAGCTTTCTGGGCTTGCTTTGTTGCTGGCTTGATGGCTATAGAACAGGAACTCCTCACTGTGGTCTCTCCAGCGGCAACATTGTTGAGAATCTGACATGGTTCTGGTGAATACCAATGACTCTCAGAAATCCTGCAGGGTTTTCCTCTGTGGTCTGTGACCTGTCTAGCCATGGGTTTAAGTCCCTGATAACAGTGCCAGGCATAGGCTCTATCTTGGGAAGCAGGCCTTGTGCCACAATTGCACCAATGGGTATATTTTGCCAAACCAGTTGTTACTGTAGTTTCCAGGGGTCCCAGGTGGGTAAGGTTGATGATTACCATTCTCAATCTCTGCTAGTAACATGCACACCACCCTCTGGTACTATGAAAGCTGGCAGAGGACTGGGAGGTGGCTGGGATCTATTCATGACTGATAGATGCTGGGAGTGGGAGAGTCAGTTTTCTTTGTTGTTGTGATTCCTGGCAGGTTGACCACAGTCTAAGGGATAGATACACCCAAGAACATTCAAAAAACATGGATTAGACTTAATAGACCTAAAAAAATCTAAAGACAATAATAGAGGACATGAAAGGGGGGAACTAGTGGGGTAGGGTAGAGGAAGGGGGGTCTGAATATGATTAAATACGTTGTATCAAATTCCCAAAATATTAAAAAAAAGAAACTGAAGTTTTGTCAAACCCTTAAAATGGCTCCAGGTTCACACTGGTAAGGAAGATGTAGAAAGATCTGTTGGCCTGTGTTATGGAGTGTGAATCCTTTGAACTCTGCTATGAAGCCAACACCCCAGGGGGTCAAGCCCCAAGCCTCTGTGCTTAGCAGGAAGCCACAGCACCCACTGGGACCTGAAGATTGCTTCTGCCAGGACCAAGTACTTCTAAGACAGATAGTTATGCTCACCCCACTCAGGAGGATGCTTTTTCCAGGGACCCTGGACCTGGCTCATTAATATAGTCCCCACCATCCTCCCTGTGCTTTCCTTAAATCTAATCAAACTTAATTTTTAAAAAATATTTTATTTTTTTATTTTATGTGTATGAGTGTATTGCCTGTATGTATGTAAGTGCACCCATGTTGTGCAATGCCGTGGAGGTCAGAAGAGGGTGTCAGAGTCCCCTGGAACTGGAGTTAAGGACGGTTCGTAGCCGCCATGTGGGTGCTGGGAATCAAACCTGGGTCCTCTGCAAGAGCAGTCAGTGCCCTTAACCGCTGAGCCATCTCTCCAGCCCTTCAAACTTAAATTTAAATGAACACTTAGAGTTCCATTGTCTTCGATTTCCCAAATTATTGTGCTGGGAATTGTGGTTCTACAGTGTATTTTGATTTGTCGTTTAAAAGACTATTTCTTTTGTTCTTGAGGCAGGGTCCCATGTAGCCCAGGTGGCCTCGAAAACCCACTATATAGCTGAAGATGGCCTTGAACTCCTAGTCCCCTGACTCCACCTCCAAAGTGCTGGGATTACAGGTGTGCCCCACCATGCTGTGATTTGTCTTTTGATATAGCTTTCTAATTTAAAAAAGTGTGTGTTTCCCTTTTACAAGATACAAACTGGTTCACGATCCTGCAAACTGGGTCACCGTGGAGGAGAAATCAGGAGTGGTCACCACCAAGGGTCAAATCGACCAAGAGTCCCCTCATGTGAATGACAGCTTTTACCGCATCATCGCCCACGCCACTGACGACGGTGAGTGTGGAGTCGACCTGGGGAAGCACTGTGCTGGTTCTTGTTCCTGAGGGAGAGCACGCTCAGCACCACAGAGGACGCTATAAAATAACCCTTCTTTTTACTTTGCCTCAAGGCTGGAGATTATTTTTGATACTAACTCTTGAAATGGCAGACTAGGGACAGATACTGCAAAACAAGGGCAGCTTTCGCTTAGTAGAAAGAATTAAACCGTGAGAACACTGCCATCAACCTACCATTTTCATCTGTTCGTAAGATAACACGGTGGCTCTTTGTCAAGCCCAGTGATGTGTGATAAATATTTAGCAGTTTCCTGTACCTGGAATGGCTCATAAGCTCAAATGAATGTGACTGTGTGAAACACACCTGTCATGAACAAGGGTGGGTGGTTTTAAGAACATGTTTTTGCACCTTCTTCTACATTCCCACAAGGCTGAATGTTTAAAGGCATCAAAATATAAGTTGGACATGTGAAAAACTTCAAATATTAAGACGTATTTAAGCAAGTCTGTGGATTAAAACCCAGATTCCCAGTGCTTTGGGCCTGCCTACCCACCTGCGCAGTCAGCTAGAGGAGTGTTGGTTGTGAAGACATGAGGCGTGATCCTAGTCAGCATGGGAGGAGAAGCAGGTGTGCGGCACCGGGGCTCGTGATTCCTTTATGGGCGGTTTCACAGTTGTCGTGACTTATTTTTAATTAGAACAGGCTGTTTTTAGATAATTACAGATTTGTGGTCAGGCCCTCACTCTGGCCTCCCCTCAGCGCCACTGCCTCTGTGATAACATCAAAAATTTCAGAGCCAATACATGGGAATAGAGTGTAAAGACAGATGAGCTTCCCACAGAGTAAGGGGGGCACCCTCGGCACCCTCAGCAGACGACAGTGGGTGGTGGGTGGTGGCCAGAGAGGCACTGCTCCAACCTGCATGGTTGGTTTTACACAAAACCTTTATTGAGAATTTCACACACGCATATAAGGTGTTTTGATCAAACCCATGCCCACTCCCTCCCCTCCAACACCTCCTATATCTCCACATCACTTTTTTCTTTTCTTTCATTTATTTATTTTTATGGGGGTTTGGGGAACTCTAACATTCCCAACTTGCATTTTTAGGAAGGCTTTATGCACTTCCTGAAGTCTCTCCAGCAGACACCTTTCCCACGGGAATTCACGGACACATTTGGATTCATTCTTAAGTGTGAGGACGATAGTGTCTCTTTGATCTTTACCAAAAAGCCTCCTGCTCCACAGCGCTCTGAGGCCCTCTTGACAGTCCAGACCGTCATTTCTCCATTCGGGGCCAGAGATTTGACCCAGGTCCCATTCTTTTGGCCAGTAATCAAAGCACTGTGGTTTCGGTTCCTGGTTTTACAGCTGCTGTTTAAGAATGAGGCAAGGTCCATCCTCAGTGACCGCCAAGCCTGTTTGTTCCTGACTAGCCACCCAGCTGATTTGCACGCAGCTTTAAGAGATAATGCAGCACTTGCCAGCACGCTCTCCCCAGCTGCCCCCAGGATAGCACCTTGTAGACTGTAGTTCACCATGTTAAGCCGGATCCCTACAGGGTTTCAGTTTAGAACTGAGCCTTGCCCTTCCCCTGGGGGGGTCCTGTATCCTGTCCTTTCATAGTCACCCCAGTTCCCTCCCAACACCCCTAACATCTGGCATGATTCCACATTCTACCTCATTTACAGATGGTTGAGAGGGCAAATGTTTTGTTAACTTTCCCAGATGGTCTGACTTTTCACACAAGCAACAAAACAGACTGACTGCAGGTCTGCAAAGTTTACGGCTTTGAAAACGAAATGGCCCTGATATTTCAGTCTGTAGCCATCCTCTGCAGACTGAGCACACTCACGTACAGGATCTGTGTGCTCTTCCAGTGGCGAACAACGCCTCGCAGTGTTACCAGACCTGACGGGCCTTACCGCCTTCTCCCTCTCTGTAAACGAACAGAGAGAAACTGGTGGAAGAGAGAGCTTTATCCAAATCCAGGCTGGGGAAAATGGGGTTGGGAACCGTCTGTCACACAGAGAAATCATCCCCCATTTCAAATGTTCCCCGCTCTTGGGAAAGTCTTTCTCTTATGGCTCCAAAGCATTTGTAGGGCAGAGACATGTCTATCTGTTTTTGGAAAATCAGTCTCAGGTCCAACCCCCTGTGTCTCTGTTAACTCACTAATTTTGCATGTGAAATTCAGTGGTAGGCAGAGAGGAGGCCGTGGCGAATGCTTTTCAGGCCATATCGCGCACAGGGTGAGCACAGGTTGTTACAGGCAGGCAGAAGTCGAGGCCTACCTTTGTCTGCACTGAGCATCAAAGTCCAGAAAAGGAAGGCTGTTTCTTCTGGTAAAGATACTGCTGGGTATCTATTTGTGTGTGTGTGTGTGTGTGTGTGTGTGTGTGTGTGTGTGTGTGTGTCTGTTTTGAGACAGGGTCTCCCTGTAGCCCCAGCTGTCCTGGAACTCACTATGTAGACCAGGCTGGCCTCGAACTCACAAAGATCTGCCTGCCTCTGCCTCCCAAGTGCTGGGATTAAAGGTGTATGCCACCACGCCCGGCCTATACTGCTGTTTTTTTATGAGTTCATTTTCGTTCTTTTGCTTTAAGTTTTAACCTTCATTTTACTGTGACTCCCTCCCACTCTAAGGCCTCCCGCCTCTGACAGGGACAGGGACCCTGTTGCTCTTCCTGTCTGACATCAACGATAATGCACCAGTACTCCTGTCCCGTTCTCGCTATGTGGAGGTCTGTGAGTCTGTGGGGAACAAATCCCTGCTCATAGAGGCCGAGGATGCTGACCTGGACCCCTACTCTGACCCCTTCACCTTTGATTTGGACACTGCACGGGGAGATGTGGAAGGCACGTGGACACTGAAGACAAAGGAGGGTAAGGGTGTGTGTGTCGTTTGTATATGAGTGTTTGAAGGGCTGAGAATGAGAAACCAGACAAAGAAACAAGGTGTGAACTGTGCCTCTGATTCAGGCAAGCTTGATTCTGGCAGAACCGGTCTAGGTGGTCCTCAGAAGCTGCTGCCCAGGACTGTGTCTCTCTGGGTCCCTTTTCTCTCAGGTGGGCTCTCTTTGGAGTACCAGGGTGGCTGCTGGTTACCCTTGAGGCTCATCCCTGAACCTGGCAGGAAGGTGCTGTCAGTGAAAGGGCAGAGAACACTGGTCAGCTCCACTCGCTGGTCCCACCAGTCACAGTGGTGAGAGTCAGAAGGGCAGATGTGAAGTGGCTCGTCCGAGCCTACCCTGGGACCGAGCACTGTAGCAGGAGTCAGGAGTGCAGATGCCTATTGACTGGGCTGAGTCCATCATCTGTCTGGTTGGGATCAGGACTTGGCATCTCGTGAACCACATGGGCCAAGAGTCCAGGCAGCAGGCAATCCCTGAAGGAAGATGGGGACGCTACGGTGAGAGTAAAACAGAAGCCAAGCCACTCAAAGCCACGAGACTCTCCTGTGGCCTCTCCATTGTGCTTGGTCTGCAGAAGGCAGGTGTTAGGGGAAGTGTCCTGTTTACAGTCCCCAACCCAGAGCAGGAAGCCAAGATTCTACCTTGCCCCAGGTGGGATCTGGGCTGTGGCCTGGAGGCCTTTGTGGACAGGGGACCTGGGGCCCTTGGGATGTCCCAGTGCAAATGTCTTTGCTTGCTAGCCTGGAGGGAAGCAAGGCTGGAAAGAAGGTGTGATTCAGGGTAGAGACTTTGACTCCCACAGTATCAAGTGACCCCTGGGAAGCCTAAAGACTGGGGGTCAGTCGTGGGAGGCCAGCCAGGCTACTGACCAAATCCCAAAATGAATTTGGGAGTGAGGACTGCATGAACGTCCCTGGATGGCAGCAGTCACTCCTGACAGCGTGGGAGAAGATGGCTGGACACTCTGTCCCTCAGCTCTTCTCTTACCTGATTTTTATCTGGGTCTTAGTCCTGTAGTGACCAGTGGCCATGGGTGTGATGGTGTGCGGAATGCTCTGTGAGCCCTTCTAGAGACTGTCACCATGTGATTTTTCCTGGGCAGATATAAAGATACATCTATTCACTCCAGAGAGACTGACAGACCAAGGACCCTATCCAAGTCCAGCTTGATACACCAGGGGTTGCTTACAGGGCATGGACAGGTCAAAGGCAGCTACCCATCAGGAAGAACCCTGGGGGGCAGTTGTACCACTGAAGAGTCATTGCCCTCAGTCAAACTTTGGCCTCTTACACACCCTAACCCTCCCCAAGACCACAGGCAGCTGGGGTAGGAATGTGAGGTGGCTGGAACCTCGGGTGAGGTGACCCCTCATCCCTCTCACCACATCTTACAGTGCTGCCCTGTCCCACTTAGTCCACGGCTGTGACTAAGGGCTGAGGTATCTCCTGGGTTCCCCAGAGCTGCTGTTTCTCCATGGTCACGCTGTGCCTGGAGGACAGATGCTACCACCATGTCCTCTCCACTGTAGTTTTGGTGGGATGTGAACTTGCAGTTGATCTAGGAACTGCCCTCTGACCTCCGAGCTGCAGTCGGCTGGTTCTGTCAGCTGTGGCAGCAGTGGTGGTGGGGCTGCAGGGAAGGAGGCACAACTCCATGTTGTCACCCTTGTCACAAGCAGCAGCCTGAAGCGTTCCCGTCCCCCTTAGGAACCTCCACTCAGGTGAACCCAGGACTCTTGGCTTCACCACAGAGAAGACTTTCAAGATGAGCCTATGTGAAGCGGAGTTTATTAAAGTAGATTACAATTCGCATTTTAAGCAGAAGTTAAGAGAAAGAGGTACTCGAGAGTGTGACACACTGAGGGTGGGTATGAGCTTCTCAGGACTTTCAAGATGAGCCTATGTGAAGCGGAGTTTATTAAAGTAGATTACAATTAGCATTTTAAGCAGAAGTTAAGAGAAAGAGGTACTCAAGAGAGTGTGACACACTGAGGGTGGGTATGAGCTTCTCAGGGGCGGCTCGGACTTCGGTGTCTTTATGCTAGGTGTGGGTAGGACCATGACTTTCTAAGTTACGTTGTCCAATAGTATAATTTACAGTAAGGTTTCAAGGGTAAAGAATTTTTTGTAAAGGAAATTGTAAAGTAAATGTATGAGGGGTATTGTTTATATTTGGAAATGAGAAGAGTTCTAAGAACTCAAGGTTAGCGATCATTTTGGCCCTAAGTAAGCACAGCTTGTTTACCGCCTTCAACGCCTTCTGTGAGGTGGCTTTAGGGAAACAGGTATTAGCTCTGTAGGCAGTTTTGGCTTCATCAGAGGTGTCCGGAAAGGCTAGCCAGACCTTGGGATGAAGGGCCTCTTTTCTTTCCCGTTTCCTTCCCACGTCTCCTTGATTTTCTGAATTTTCTCTCCTGCCTCTCTTTCATGGGGGGCCTGGGCCGCTCTCTTTCATGGGGGGCCTGGGCCCCTCTCTCTTTCATCGGGGGCTGTCCAAGGAAGCCCGTGTGGAGTGACTGAGTCCACTTTCTGCCTTCAGGTCGCTCTGCTGAACTTGTAATGCTGAGAAACCTCCCACCTGGGAATTACTTGGTACCTCTCTTCATCGGAGACAGACAGGGCCTCTCCCAGAAGCAGGTGGTCCATGTGAGGATCTGCTCCTGTCCAGGTGGATCTGAGTGCGAGGAGCTTTCAGACACGAGGCTCCCTTGGCAGGCCCTGTCCCCTGTCTGTGCAGCGTTCACGGCTCTGGCAGGTCAGTGCTGCAGAGGTGGTCCTGGGAACACGGTCCCTCTGCAGGCCACAGGTCAGGGGTCTGCAGGGACAGGAGTGGGGGGAACTCTGGGTTTGTTCAGGTCAAAGGTTGCCAGACATGCTGATTGATTGGCAAAATCAGTGTCTGTTGGTAGGCAATGATTTAAGCAATGGAACCCACAGAGGAACGTGGCCCAAGGGTGACTGTGTGTTTGAAATAACTGTGGGCACAGTGGTATACAGGTGTCTAGGCTCTGGGACTTGGTCAAGGTTAACAAGGACACTAGTTAGTCTGACAAACAGGGTATTCCTGGTCAGACATTAACCAATGGATTCACCAGAACAGCCAGCATCCTTGTGTGCCCCACGTTTTTAAACCCTGAAGTTCCAAAAATGATTCGACTGAAACCTGGCCCTGTCAGTTGGTCGCTGAGTAAGGTGCCCAGAAACTGGGTCCCGGAAGCCTCTGCATGGTGACCCTCCTCAGTCAGTTCACCCTCTCCATTTCTTAAAATTTGTTTTTATTAAATTTTGTTGTATTTCATACAGAATATCTCAAACAATCTGAGCCATCTTTATAGCCCCATGCCCACCAGCCCCTCCCATAGCGCCCCCCACCCACTGGAACCCATATACTCTGTCCTGGGTGTTAAGGCCCACTGTGTCAAGTCAGTGCCCCCAGACATTCCCCAGTACAAGCCCGTCCTCTTGCGATGTGGGCAGATCCCTCTCGTCTATGACCCTCTCAATTTTTTTGCAGCTGCCCTACTTTTCTTACTGCGATGCTACTTTGTGTTGGGATCCAAGAGGCTCAGAGGCTCCATCCCCACTGACAGTGGCCACCAGACCCTGATCATGTTCAACGATGAAAGCAAAGCCGTCTCAGCCCAGGTAGCAAGTGTGGAGCACTGCGTTGCATGGCAGCGGCAGCCATGCCAACAGCGCACACACCCGTTGCACCCCCTCTCGTGATTTTCATTCTTAATTCATGTTTCAGTGGTAAATAGGAAAGCACGTTTGCAAAAATTGCACACCCAACCAAAAGCATTCACGTTTTAGATCAGTGGTTCTTACCCACGGTCAGTGTTGCCCGTGAGGGGACACCAGGCAAGGCCTGCAGACACTTTTGATTTTCACAGTTAGAGGATGCTATAGGCCCTCTAGAGGGCTGAGGCCAGAGCTGCTCCAAACGTCCTGCAGCACAGGATATGATCTGGCCCAGTCCAGAGTGCTGGGTTGAGAAGCAAAGCTTAGGTGAAAATACTTTCTGCCAGGTGGAAGGTCTCTGGGTGGACACATGTGCTTCCTGGTGAATGAGTGTGAGCTGGATTCTCCTCCACGCCAGGGTCCTGTGACTGAACCGTTCCCTGCTTCACTCCCTGCAGCAGAGATATGGAGAAGGGCTGGCTTTCCATGCAGGGACAAGACCCACTTCTATTTCAGTCTTTGCATCTAACTAGCTTCATACAGGGGAGTGAGAAATTCTTCCCACACCCTCATCTGTGAACTGTGATGACGTCAGTCCCACAGGTGGAGGATCAGAGGATAGTACCTACAAAAGTGCCTGACACAGCTTGACCTGTGTGCAGTAACGACCAGTGATGGCTGGATTTTCCCACCTGCTGCTGCTGAAATGGAACCTTTGCTCATGGTCCTTGTGGCTCCCTTGGGCCGGGCCAGAGGGACAGGAGAGAGGACGGTGGACAGTGTTGTGAGCTTTCCTGTTGGTCCTCACCTAGAACTAAAGAAACAAAAGTAACAAGAATGTCAACAGGAAGTGCTGCCTTTGATACCCAGTGAACACACACCAGTGAACACACACCAGTGAACACACACCAGTGAACACACACCAGTGAACACACACCAGTGAACACACACTCGAACTATTTTTCTCATTGCTGTGACCAAATACCTAGTAGACAGGAAAATTTCAGAGAGGATTTCTCTCTCTCTCTCTCTCTCTCTCTGTTCAGGAGATAGATTCCTTCATAGCATGGCAGCTGGAACAAGTCAGTCCATGGTGGTGGGAGCTTGCTGTAGTGTCTTCCATTTTTATTTTATGTATATAAGTGTATTGCCTGCATGTATGTAAGTGCACCCATGTCATGCAACGCCTGTGGAGGTCAGTCAGAAGAGGGCGTCAGATCCCCTGGAACATGAGTAACGGATGGTTGTTAACCACCATGTGGGTGCTGGGAACTGAACCCAGGTCCTCTGTAAGAGCAGCCCGTGCTCTTAACTGCTGAGCCATCTCTCCAGCCCCTGTAGTACCTTCTCTCTGGAGAGAGAGCTCAGGCAAGAGCTAGAGCCAGGCCATAACTCCTATAGTCCACAAGAGCTCTCCCCCAGTGATCCACCCACCGCCTCCTGTCATGCCTCCCTCTGCATAGATGCCACAAGCTCCCAGAGTTGCAGCTGGGGATCAATTGTTGAAGCCCATGAGCACAGAAGACTTGGTGCATTCACACCATGGCACACCTTGATCCACTATTTTCTCATGGAAGGAAAAGACTTGCTGCATTAACTGAGACACCTTGGGGGACATGTTCTAATTAACTTTGATGTTCAAATAAATAGAGATAGTCTAAGAACTGTTTGGGGGTAGAAGCAGCTGGTGGGTGGCCAAGTTTCCTAGGATCCTCTCACACTTTGCCTTCTGTCTTACTGCCAGGGGAAGAAGGGCCGCTTGTGGACCATGCTTGCAGCAGCCATTTGTGAGCCCAGGGGCAAGAACGCAAGAGGTGGGGCAGGGAGTGTAGCTCAGCTGGCAGAGTGCTCACCTAGCATTCAAGATACCCTGCTTGATCCTAGTACTGCTGATACTGGGCATGGTGGTGCACACCGATAATCCCAGCACTCGCAAAGTAGAGTCAGAAGTTTCAGAAACTCAAGGTCGTTCTTCTCTACATAGCAAGTTCAAGGGTAGCCTGAGCTACATGAGACTCAGTCTCTAAAAAAGAACAAGAGACGTGGTCGTTGTCAAGGTAGCTGCGTCTCAGGAAGGGCTCTGCTTTTGTCTGCAGAGTAGTGAGAGGAGATTGGCACCTGACCACTGTCGAGGAATCTCAAGTTCCTGATCCTGTCCTGTTAGGATTCCTGCTCAGATGCATTTCCCCTTCTGATGAGTTATGTTATGGAGTCTGCCATGTGCTTCTGTCTTTGCACATTTCTGCACACTTAGCTTTTTGCCATTGGGTTTCATTTTCATTTTGATCTTGGCATTTTTCATCAAGAGGGATGGAGCCTCTCCCAGGAAAGGGCCTCCGCTCTCCTCTGACACTGAGCTCCCTGCCCCTGCATCACCCGTGGCTTGGAACACATCTGTTTTTGGTCTTGGTCTGGGGGACCCTTGGCTCTCACATGTTAAGTAGGGTCAATATTCTCTCTCCTTCTTGGTTTATTGGACAATTTAATCTAAGTCCCCAGCAGAGAGTAGGGCACTGACTGGTATGCAGTGACCTGGCAGCTGACGCCCATCTCAGTGCATTCATCTAACCTGTGTATCCACTCATGTGACCGTGCCAGCCAGTACCGCCCCTACCACCAGGGGCACTCTGTCCTCTTGGGAAGGGTCCATCCAAGATGGCACCCAGCCTCCTTGTCATATCTGCTACTGAGGTGATCTGTGGGATTGCACAGACCCCTGCCTTGTGTGTAGAGCACCTGATCAGCCCTGAGGCAGCAGAACTCCCACACTCATCAATACCAGAGTCCCTCAGTGACAAAGTCTGCTGAATGAGGAAGGATTGAGACAATGTAAAATCATGCAACAGGGAGCCCCAAGGGCGTCGCCAGCACCTAGGAGAGAATGAGCTTTGAGATCTGGGGTCTCCCAGAGCAAGCGTCTTTTGCTATCATGCGACATGAAACTCTGGACACTAGGGAACCAGTGATGACAAATGACAAACAGAACATCCCTCCCCAGACAAGTCACCCAGGCGTACCGCACTGCTGTTACCTGCTGGGGGATGCTGTTCCTCGTTTGCTGATTTTGGGACTGTAACTCCAGCCTCTGTTGTATCTCTTTCTGTGGGTTGCACAGATGTGGCCGCCTGGGGAAAGTCAGATGCCTGCTCTGTCCTCCAACACAACTGTGGCCAGTGCTCAATGCAATGTGAAGGTAACGCTCGTTCGTTTGCTTCTTGGGTTCTCAAAGGAGAGACGCTCCTGCTAGGGGCTGGGGTTAGGGAAGGCCCCAGCAGCCTCTCCCACTCGCATGCAATAATGCCTGCCCATTGCCAAGGAGCTGGAGAAGGAAGGATTTCCCACCATGCGTGTCGATGTAATTTAAAACTGTTTCCAAACTGGCAGGATCTTCCTTTCTGTAAGTACTATCTCTCCCCAGTTTGGGAAGTTTGGAAGCACAACATTGATTCAGGACTGCCTGAGTTTAATGGCAGGGCCCAGGCTGCTGTTCTCCTGCTCACTTCGCCCTGCTCCTAGGGGAGGGCTGCCTTATCCTCACAACTATGACTGCGTTTTGTGGGCTGGTGTCTGTTTCTCTCTCCTTTAGTCTGGAAATTTCTGGAGGCCGAGGCATTGCAAAACTGAGTTCCTGCTGACACTGTGAGCTTCGGTACTCCCTACATTTATGGAGAGAAAATTGAGGCCTTCTGGCTTCAGTCCTTTAGTACCCTTTGGGTTCCCTTCCCAGTGCCTGCAGACAGTGAGCACGTTTGTAGTGACAGTTAAGTCAGACGCCGTTCACACTCTTTCTCAAGGCTGAGGAGCTGCTTGGTAATTATTGGTAACCCAATGCCTTAAGCTCTGCTTCAAAGCAGGAAATATCTCAAACCCACTGTCAGGGCCACTACCAGATTAATTTTCTTTTTCATTTTTGTGTGTGCATATGTGGTATGTGCCTGCATGGGTGTGGATGCACATGTAAGTGTATGGTCCAACCTCAGGAGCTGTCACCTCGTGTTTTGAGACAGGCTCTCTCACCGGGACCTGGAGCTTACTAATTAACCTAGGCAGGCTGGCCAGCAGGCCCCAGGAATCCTCCTGTCTCCACCTCCCCAGAGCTAGGATTATAGGCACATGCCATCACACCCATCCTTTTTATTTACATTGGTGCTGGGGATTGAACTCAGGGCCTCACACATGTGCAGCTAGCACTTTACTAACTGAGCTATTTCCTCAGCCCAATCTTCTTTGAGATTTTACTTTATTTTTGAAGAATCTAAATAAAATCACAAACATCACCCACCGTCAGGTGTCTAAGCTGTTCCACCTGTCAGCGTCCCTCCTAGACCTGCCCTGTGCGCTCTTTCACACCGGAGGGAGCTATGTCAGCTGCAGCAGCTCTAGGGCCCAAGGTCGCTCCCCAGTACGGCTCTCATCTCTGTGTGCCTCTGCCTTCCCTGTCCCACTCCCTCCTCCCACCCTGCTGTCCTGGCTTCTAAGTACCTGAGCAGGGAGAGGTGTGCAGAGTTGCATAGGCTGGTTGGCTCTGCTGTGGAGACAGGCTCACCCTGGAGTAAACCAGAATTTCCTCCTAGGATCTCTGTGAGACGCTGCCATGGACAGCAAGTGCATTAGACCAAGTGCTGTCTGCTCTGGGGACTCCCATGAGTTACAGAAAACTGCTATCACCTCACCAGTGACAGGCAGCTAGTTCTCTTGAGAGGGAAGGATCCTTCTAGAAAGTTCCATGACTCAGAGTGAACACATAGCCAATAAAAATCTGAGCGGTGGGGCTTCCTCTGAAGGCTTAGTATACGCCAACATTTTCCGATCTAACTTCTGTTATTTTTGTTGGTGGCTATTTTTTAAGAGTTGTTTATGGGATTGGAGAGATAGCTCAGTTGGTAAACTGCTGCACAAGTTTAAAGACCTAACTTTGCTTTCCAGAATCCACATTAAAAGTTGAACATAGTGTGTGTTTGCAATCCAAGTAATGGGGAAGCAGAGACAGGTGGATCCCTGGGGCTCATTGGCCCAGCTTGCCTGGCCCAATCGGTAAGCCCCAGGCCAGTGAGAGACCCTATCTCAAAAACCAGGTAAACAGTGCCTAAGGAATAACAACTGAGCTGTCCTTTGACCTCCACAAGCACACACACACGTGTCTACACACACACACACACGCACACCCCCACACAGAGTTGTTTGCTAGTCCTTATACAATATACTGTTGAGAACATCCGTAAACAGATGTGTTTTCTTGTGTCCACCTAAGGGTAACAGAGCCATCCCTAAGGATAAGAATACTTTCTTTGATCCTGATCAGATGCATGCTTAGTATTCCTCACTTCCTGCCCAGCAGAGCCCTGGCTCCCATTGTACCTTGTGTCTGTATTTACCCTGCTTACAAATTCTAGAACTACTGCTTTGCTTGGTAAAATGATTTTTCTGAAATAATTTTAAACCCACAAGAAGGTACAGAAATAGCAGAGAAGATTGCTGTGCACCCTCCCCTCACATGACCACAGCACATGTCAAAGCCAGAAAGGTGGTTTGTGCACAGGTCTGGGGTACAGGTCACATTTGGACCTCCCTACTGTTTTAACAAGAGTTGACTTTTTGATGTACAACTGAGAGGTATTCAAAGTCCAGAGAGCCATGGTCAGGTGTCTAAGTTGTATGGGGAAACTTGTAAGACTGAACCCACAATTCTTACAATTTCTTATTGTTGCTTGGGCTGTGTTTGACCAAAAGGTGCTGTTTTCTGCCCAAAGTTGATGCCGTGAATCTAATCAGTGAAAGGTCCGTGCACCGAAGGCTTGTCCCTCTAGTCATGCAGGGCCAGCTTTACAGGCATGGTGCTCAATGGTGGGGGGCCAGTGCTTGGGGCCCTTGCTGAGCTGCTGACCTACTGCCACATCTTGTGTTATTTACTTATTTTGAGACAGGTCTCCCTGTGGCCCTAGCTAGCCTGGAACTCACTATGTAGATCAGCCTGGCCTCGATCTCCCAGAGAGCTGCCTGTTGTTTGAACAGGCAGATTCTGCTGTTGTCACACCCTGTCACTACACAGCAACGGAACCCTTTGCGTGGGTTCCTGCTGTGAATGTGTGCACATCTCTCAGAACTAAACCCCCATTGGTATAGTCATGCGTGTACCTGTGTCTCTATATGAAACTAAGTAAGCTTCATTTTTCTTACATTTAAGGGCTGTGGTGTTCTCTTTGAGCAAAGAGAAGTGAGAAACAGATCATCTACTCCTGTAAGTATGAGCATGTGAGATACCATAAACACTGCCTTTTTCAAAGTCATAAAAATGGCAGTTTGGAAGACAAGAGGGATTCAAAGTATAGTCAGCATCCAGTGCTCTAAGGGGATGTGTGAATGTGGAACACAGATTAGATTGGGGAGATGCTCAGTTGGTAAAGTGTATACCAGGCGTGCATGAGCAGCTTAGTGGGGGATGGGGATGGGGATGGGGTGGAGACAGGCAGATCCCTGAAGCTCACTGGCCAGCCAGCCTAGTCAAATTGATGAGCTTCAGGTTTAGTGAAAGGTTTCAAAACAAAGGGGGGCGGTGAGAAGGCTCAGCAGGTAAAAGTGTTTGCTGCTTAAGCATGGTGACCTGAATTCAATCTGGGAACCCACCCTGGGAGGACACAACTGACTCCTGCAAGGGGCGCTCTGACCTCCACATATGTTCCATGACATGGGTGTGTACATACAAACAGATCGCTCTCTCTCTCTCTCTGCCTTTCTCTCTCTCACCACAAATAATAAGTAAATTAAAGATAGAAAGGATCAAGGAAAGGAAACTCAGCATGCATTCACACATACATGTGCATGCACCAGAATCATACATGCACAACGCCTCAACCTACACACACGTGCAAATATTAGAAAAATTCACTACCACATTGTTCTGGCAGCATGAAGGCATTTGGGCACTAGTCCTTGCAAATTCCCTTTGACTGCTGAGTTGCTGCACACTGGGGTCTGGGCAGATGGGCTTCTGTGCTGGTCTTTAGGCTGGTGGGCATTTTGAGATGCAGGGCTGCTGGAGGCGGGGTGGATGAAGATCACCCAGTCCAACATTCCTCCTCTGAACTGTTTTGGCAACAGAATCCTTTTCAATTGAGATCCTACAAAGAACTCCATTCTATATAAAACGGGTGAGTGATTGCTTTTCAGCACCTGTTTGATGAGGCATTGGCATGACACATGCCTATGAGCCAGCAAAATGAATTAAAATGAGTCTAATGAAAACCAGTAAGCTCAGAAGCTTAGATGCTGTGCACGAGGATCAGAAGTATCCCCTCACACCCAGTGCCTCTCTGGATGGGAGTTGCTTTTTGATACAATCATGAAAATTTTGATATCTCCATGGAATCGATCCAAATATTATATTTGAATAGCTCAACTCATCATATTAGAATTCTCTCTGAGTCATCAGACACAGGACAAAAAACCTTCCAAGTTTCATAAAGGTCAATTGGTGCAGCATCCCGGATGGGGCTCAAAATGATGGAAACCATCTTCCGTTGCATTACAAATTAACATTTAGAAATCATAATTAAAGTAATTCGTAAACAACTAAAATGAAATTGAATTTCTCTTGCTAAAGTTCTGCTGAGCAGTCACCAGAGACATGGACCAAGGCTAGTAACCAAGGCAAGAGAGACCCAGGGAGGGAGAAGGCGCTCTCCTGGCCACAGAGCAGTCTTGTGTAGTATGGTGTTAGGAGGCTAAGTTGGCTCAAGGCAAAAACAACCTGAGCCTTGTTTGGGAAGAGGTGAGGCTGCTGTCTGCCCTGGCTTCATCCTCTGGTCCTAGATTGACACTGACACACAAGCTGATGGGAGGTATCATGCAAAGGCTCTATCTTTTTCTTCTTCTTATGTGTGTATGTGAATAGAAACAGTGCTTGTATAATCTGTATGCACATGCCTCTGGAGGCACAGGCCGGTATAGGGAATCATCCTTCACTATACTTCTTTCTGCCTTGGTCTTTTGAGGCATCTTTCAGTCAAGCCCAGAGCTCCCTGACATACTTGTCCGGATGGCCAGCTTGCTCTGGGGGTACCCAGTCCTGCTTTCCGAAGATGGAAAGGCAGGCCACTGTGTCCACCTGGCATTCACATGGGTTCTGGAGTTCTGAACTCTGAGAGTCTTCTTCCTTACACAGCAAGTGCTTTAACCGCTGAGGGATTGCCACAACCATAGAGCCTGTGTCTGAAGGATCCTCCTTAGAAAGGCCCATGGGGCCAAAACAGGCAGTAAGCAATGGCTGTCTATCTACTCAAGAGCCCCTGGTCCTTGAATGCAGGCAGTGGTCCCAGGACCGTTGGTAGCAGTCAGTACCTTTCCTTTCCTGCTGAATGGTTTAGTTCACCCTGTCGCAGTGTGGTGGGCTCTTCTGGATATCCTCAAGTGCCTCTGTGTGTCTATATTCATTGAGACAGATAGACTTGTGTGCTGTGCATACATCTGTGTGTGTATAAAGGTGTGTATCTGTCTCGTGAATGTGTAAACTTGGCCTAGACATTATCATTTTTATGTGTGTCTCCTGGGATCCCATGAGTATCACTGGGCACAAGTCAACCCAACCACAAAGCGCCACCAGTGTTTTACAGAGACAGACCCTCCTGCCGCCCTGGATTTCACAGCTTCCCAGCAGCTTGTTGGAATAAGTCTACAGCCCTGAGAGGCGTCACGGCCATGTGACGTCTTCCATCTCCTGGCCTCTGCTCCCTGTTCCTCCCTCAGCCCCTTGAGAACACAGTGGAGCTCTCTCTTTCTTCAGGGCATTTACTGCTCTTCCACTTGGAAATGCCCCTCACCCCCATCTCTGCACAGTTCCACTCTCTTGTCCTCAGAGGCCTCCCTGATCCAGCTGGGAGACTCCAGCTTTTCCCTTCTTCACGGTTTCTGTCGCTCCCATGTGCTGGCCTTGCACATGCATGACATGAGCTGAGGGTCGCCTGACAGCCAGGCCTGGCGCCTGGCTGGCCTTCATACAGGGCTCGGTTGTGATTTCCTGGGGAAGGTGTGTGCTTCTAAGAGGCCCTGCCACATGGTGCATGCCCAATCTGTTCCCTAACAGTGTACACTTGCTCTTTGCACAGCTCTTAGAAATCAGTGCTATTAAGGCAGTGAATGCCAATGTGCCCACCACAGAGATGACCCTGAGCAAGGCTAAGAGGGGAAGAATTAAGGGCAGGGCTGTTGAGGGGGCTCAGCCACAGAAGAGGCTCTCCGAGGAATGGGGTTGTGGGAGAGCCCTTGGTGAATGGATGTACGCTTCCCTAGGAGCATGTGGGAGATCTAGCAATGCTAATTGCAAGACCTCTCCTCTCCCAGCATGTAGTCCCTTGCTCACAGCCAGATTCTACCTCCATGTTGAGTCTGTGCTGAGGACAGGGAACACTCATGCAGGGAGCCATGGCCAGTGCTCCTCAGGAGAGCTAGTGGTTCACTTTACAGGTCTACCTGAATCCCCTGGTGCCCACACACGCCCTGCTACTGATGGAAGAAAGGACGGCTGAGATGTGGAGTCAGGTAGGTCTTGGGCACTGGCTGCCCCTCTGCTTCCCCTCTACTCCTAGTTTGAACTGAGGACACATCATTCTAAATCACCGTATGGGTCAGTTCAGGCTGCTGAAACAAGGTTATAGACTGGGTGGCTTAAACCACAGAACTTACTGTCCCACACTTCTGGGTCTGTCCTCCTGGCTTCCAGATGACCGCTTTCTCACTGTGGATATGTATAACAGGAATAGAGCTAGACCAAGTCTCTGAGATCAAGTCTCCAGTGTGTCTTCTAGGGTACTGGTCCCATTACAGGGCCCCATCTCATGTCTTCATTTAAACCCAGTTACTCCAGGCTCCGGGCCCAACACTGGGTATCACATAAAGGGGCTGGACTTGAGCATATCAGTTTAGAACTGATACAGATGCAGTCACTCCCTGGCCAGCATGATCATGGAAATCCTCCTTGCAGAACCGAGCCTAAGCCAAACGATGGCTCTTTTGCTGTGAAATTGTGGAAGATGGTTTTATTGCCAAAGGGGGCTGTTGGGCAAGGCTCTGAGCTCACACCAGCCCTGGAAGCCTCTCCACACAGCCACCCAGTGTTCTTGGGAGGAATAGGAAGGACCAGGCACAGTGAATGTGCAGTGGGTCACAAGCTCATGTGACGCTCTGCCATGTGGGCAGGGATGCACTGAGACGCTGCCCCTGTGGGTTCTGAGCCCAGGGGAGGCTAGAGCTCAGCCTACTAGGTAATAGGCTCAGAAAGAATTTGTCCCTGTAGGTGGTTTCCAGCAGGCTCTGTACCTGTGTGCCTAGTGCTTCCTTCTCAATTGTCCTCAGTGCTTTGTGGGAGGTGCTGTTGCAATCCTGTTATAAAATGGGGAAGTGCAGAGGCAAAGAGCTGAGCGCTATGCCCCAGGTCATAGCTAGGACACAGCTAGGAAACTGGCAGGCTTGGGCTTCAAACACAAACAGTTGGTCTCCAGGGACTGGGTACTTGAGGTTCTCCTTAAATTGCATCAACCAGGCCTCAACTGTGCAGACCTACATGAGTGGACCTGGGGTGTCATCAGAGCCTGTGAGCTGAGGCTCTGGGACCCTGTCCTGTGACCCTCATGATGCACCTGGACATCCCCATCTCTGGCTGTCACAGTGGACAAGAGACAGGGCTGGCTACAGGATGCCATGACTTGAGGAAGTGGGCCCAGGCTGTGTCTAGTGTAGAGCCACGGCCCGGGGCCTTGCACTGTCTGCTCCTCCAGTTCCCATCTCTGTCCCCAGGTAGGAGCCACAACTCTGCAGCTGCTATAGATTGGACCCCTCAGGCTCCTGCCTGAGACCTGCGGTGTGGATGCTGCTTGTGGATGACGCCACAAGGGAGATGCACCTGTCTCCCGTGGGGAGGCTTTGCGTTTAGAGCTGGGCTGCAGGGTGTTTCCTCAGGTGCAGATTGCTAGGAGGAGCCATGGTGTTTCTGTGTCTCTATCTGAGCAGACTATAACTTCCATGAAGCATGAAGGCAAGCCCATGTCTTTATGGTGCACCAACTTTTCATGCATGTGACAGAATGCCTTGGACAGAAACGTCCAAGGGAGAAGGGTTTGTCTTGGCTCACAGTTTCAGAGGCTTCAGCCTGTTCTTGGCTGGCTCTGGTGGTATGGTAGGCCTGTGGTCAGTGTGGACTGGGAGCACGTGGCACAGCAAAGTCACCCAGCTCATGCTGCCAGGAAGCATGTGGAGTAACAGGAAGAGGCCAGGGCAAGACAGACCCTTAAAAGACAGAGCCCCAGCAACCTACCTTCTCCAACCAGGCCCCCCCCTCCACAGTTCCACCACTTCACAGTCTATTCAGGTGTGAATTCATCCATGGGTTGTTCTGTTGGTGAAGGCACAACCTTCAGCGTCCAATCCTAGCCTCAGCCCTGCTCAGCACCAATGGAGCGATCACTGAATGAGAAGATGATAAAGGATGACCTCATCACGAAAGTTCCAGGAGGGAAATGGACCTGAAAACCAAGGCCCAGGGGACCTGCTTCACATGACCAAGCTATGAGGGCAGAGCTGGGGCTGGGCACAGGCACTGACCCTCCACATGGCAGAGCCGGAGCTGGGCACTGACCCTTCCACATGGCAGAGCCGGGGCTGGGCACTGACCCTCCACATGGCAGAGCCGGGGCTGGGCACTGACCCTTCCACATGGCAGAGCCAGGGCTGGGCACAGGGTATTAACCCCTCTACATGGCAGAGCCAGGGCTGGGCACGGGGTATTAACCCCTCTACATGGCAGAGCCGGGGCTGGGCACTGACTCTTCCACATGGCAGAGCCAGAGCTGGACATAGGCCACTGACATCCACATGGTGGAGCTCTTTGAAGCAGTGCTGGGATTAGGTACAGGCCACTGACTCCAGACCAGCCCATCTGGCCAGTGATCAATATCAGGGAGGCCTATGCTTCCCAGACATGAAGGATGGTCCAGACAGCTCCGCCTTACGCTAGAGACAGTGCACAAATGAGGCCATGTGGTCAACAGCATATAGCATGTGTTGACCATGACGTCTGGTCTGCCCATTTTCATGTGTGTACTTACCTAGCTGGAGCTCAGTAGGCAACATGAACAGGACTAAGGTGCCCATGCACCTGGGCAGGAGAAGGCTGCATCCCCGTGGAGGAGCCCCATCTCCTTACCAGGCCGGCAGGTACCTTTGTACAGCACAGCTCAAGGTCCAAGTTCTATAGTAAGAATGATTAAAAAAAAAAAAAAAAAAAACAAATCCAGATGAGAAGCCCAGTTCTTTCCCTTGCGAGTTTCTAACTTAGTTGGTGGTTTGTGATGAATTATTGATCTTAGGGGGCTCTGGAATTGCTGAATCAGGGTACAGAACCCTGCTGCTCAGCCTCCGGCCTTGGGGGTTTGAAGTTGAGTTCCTGAGGCACAGCTCCTGCCGCTGATTCGGTTTTGCTCTGCACACACCAGGTCTGTCATGAATTATCTATTCAGCTTTGCTGAAGGGACGTGACTGGACTCCTAATGCCTGGGCCGGGTTTGGATGCTTGTGTGTCAGTTGGTAAAACTTCCATTCCTCCCTGCCACCTGGTCCTGGGCCGGATGGCCACATGGTGGTGAGCACGGCCCTCAAATAACAGATGCAGTGGGCAGGTATGTGGAACCCACTCTGGTCTGTGGGTACCAGTCCCTATGCATAGTGGGCACAAGGCCTGGAAGCTGGTTCTGCTCCATGGACAGACCAGGACTCTTTCTATGCGACAGAGGGCGCTGGAGAGCAGCTTGCCGCCTGCTGTGCATGCAGAAACCGAATAGTGCCATCAGGAAGGCACGTGCCTGGGGTCCGCAGGGCCCCTCAGCTGCCTTGTTCCAGGCCTTACCCCATCTTCCCACTGTGCTCTACCCCTGCACTCCAACTGCTTTCACTTTACACATGTGATGCCAGGAATCTCTTATTAGCTAAGGACAGGTTGGAAAGTTCCCTGAACCTGTTCCCACCATAGCTGACTGAAGTAGTTCAGTTTGGATGGCACCGTCCTCGCTGTGCATAAACTGGTTGAAGGTCTTCTTCCAGCCACCCGTCTGTCCACCCACCCGTCTGTCCATCCACCCGTCTGTCCATCCACCCATCTGTCCATCCACCCGTCTGTCCACCCACCCATCCGCCCATCCATCCACCCGTCTGTCCACCCACCCGTCCGCCCATCCATCCACCCGTCTGTCCATCCACGCGTCTGTCCACCCACCCGTCTGTCCACCCACCCATCTGTCCATCCACCCATCTGTCCACCCACCCGTCCACCTATCCATCCACCCGTCTGTCTACCCACCCGTCTGTCCATCCACCCATCTGTCCACCCACCCGTCCACCTATCCATCCACCCGTCTGTCTACCCACCCGTCTGTCCATCCACCCATCTGTCCATTCACCCGTCTGTCCACCCACCCATCCGCCCATCCATCCACCCGTCTGTCCACCCACCCATCTGCCCACCCACCCGTCTGTCCATCCACCTGTCTGTCCATCCACACGTCTGTCCACCCACCCAACCGTCCATCCATCCATCCATCCACCCATCCACCTTTCATTCATGCCTCTCCCCATCTTCCCTTGCCTGTTTCCTCCCTCCCTCTTTCTGCCGTCCTGTCATCTCTCTGCTGTCCATCCATCTACACCTCTATCCACCTCTCCACCTCTCCCCCATCCACCTATTCAACATCTAATGAGGGATGCAGACCAGAAAATAAAAACAAGAAGGGTTACAGTGGGGCCTACAGTGGGTGACTGGGCCTTGGACCCTAAGCTGGAAGTCGGCAGCAGGGAGTCCTTCCTGGAGGAGGAGGCAGGAGGAGAGAGAGCTGGGAGACTTAGCACAGCTGGAGGCCCTGGGCATGAAGAATGGGCTGGTCTAGGGAGACTTAGAGTAGAAAGACAAGTCTGGTGAGGTGGGAAGGCCTTACGTGGATTTTGCATATGTTTGGGGTTTTAGAGGCTGAGAATGCAGTCTGAGGGACTTGAGGAAGGGTGCCCAATTAGGTCCCTTTGCAGAGGGTGGACCAGAGCAAGGGGGTTGGAGAGAGGCCGGGTGTGGGAAGAATCAGAGCCACGCCCCCCCTCCCATGTCAGAGTGAATTAACAGAACATTAATGCTTCATATCACAGTGGGTACAGTCAGCAGGAACTTTCTAGTGGATGCTGAGCCCAGCCCAGGACCCTTCATCCCTATGACTCAGGCACCCAGGAGGACCCTGGGGACATGTGGCTGGATGACAGGAAAGACAGAGATTAGACAGTCCCAGTCACAGCAGGGGCCAGGGGACTGTTCCTGATGGTTGCCTCCTGTGGGTCTTGGTCACCCACTGTCTGCATCAGGAAGTCAGGAAATGAGGGTCTTTGGGTTCCCAGCATGAACAGGAATGGATTTAGTTAACTCTATGCCATTCCCTGCAACAGGGACTGGAGAGGAGGATGGGACTGAGGCGGTGGTGGAGGCCCTGGGCAGAGGAAGGAACCAGGGGAGGATGGCTGCAAATAGCTATACTACTGAAGATGTTGTTAAGATGTTCTTAGACTAGAGCCTTGCACACTCAGGGATTTGCACGGCCCTCCCTCCCAGGCACACCTCACTGCTCCCAGTACTCGGCACACATTTTCATTGACTTTGTTTTATTATCAGCTAAGCAGAGCTATTTGTGAAGTTAGGAGGATGGTGTTCCTGTTAGCTGTTACATGTTCACTAAGTCCGTCAGCCTTAGTCTGTCAGCCAACTTCCTGTGAAGAGCTAGACAGAAAATACTTTAGGATTTGAGGGTCAAGTCTGAATTCTCCACTCTGCCACTGAATTGTGAAAGGTTGGCTGTGTTCCAACAAAACTTTATTTACAACGACAGATGTTGGGCTGCACTTGCCCCTGAACTGTCATGTATCAGCTTCTGTGATGTTGTGTGTGTACTGCTCTTGGGGAACTCTGGAGGAGGGGGCTTCGGGAAGGAAAAGCCGGTTGAAGGCTGAAAGGAGGAGGTCTTCCAGGTGTTGGGTCAGTCTGCCTGGCTGTCTCTAAGGAACTGCCCAGCTCCCACTCTGTATGAGGGGCGGAAGTGCCCCAGGTCAGAGCGAGATCACCTCCCACATTGGCTAGGGCCTGTGGCTTGAGCATGCACTTAGGAAACCAGAGAACAGTGGAGACTAGAGGACAATGCTGAAGGGGCGCAGTGAGTGCAGACGCTGAAGGGTGAGCATGGTGGAAGTGTTTGTGGCTTGGGAAGGGGTCCCCTGGCAAGGGACATGCTAAATATGCAGAGAACAGGGTGAAATTCCCAACTGCAGATCCAGGTGAGTCCCAGGTGGGGATTGCCAGGACATGGGAGGTGTACCCCAAAGAATGAGGGATTGGAGAGATGGCTCAGTGGTTAAGAGCACTCGCTGCTCTTGTGGAGGACCTGGGATGGGTTCCCAGTACCCACATGGGAGCTAACAACTGTCTGTAGCTCCAGGTCCAGGGGATCCAACACCCTTTTTTGGCTTCCATGGGCATCGCATGCATGTGGTGCAGCAAAACACTCGTACCCATAAAATAGTAATAAATAAAAAATTAAAAAGAGAGCGAGGGCCCGAGGGGGAGAAAAGTGCTCGTGAGGGTGCTCTCATACTAAGTAGGGTGGCAGCACAATCAGAATAACTCCTTCCTAGGAACTGGGGCTGCGTCTCCATGGCTGAGTTTGTAGGTCTGGGGCCCATCTCCCACCTGTAATGCAGACTTCCTCAAATCCAACCTAGAGGAACCCGATATGACAGTCAGTGACGGTCTCTTTCCCTGGCTTTCCCCCAGAAGCTCCGGTGTGTTGACGTCCTGGAAGATGACTCACTGCCTCATGTCTACAGCACGGAGGGGGAGTGTGAAGGAGCCGAGACCCTCAGCTCTCTGACCTTCTCAGAGCAGGAGCTGTCCTGAGTTGCTGGACTGCTGGGCTCAAAGTCTACTCCACTGGTGGCGGAAGACTCGTGTGTGTTCCGCATTGAGAATTCCTTCCAAACAGTGATGAGTGAGATCTGTGATCTGGAGGAACAGTCACTATTCAGGGGGGACTCCCCCCCTCTTTAATTCCTTCTCTCTGTTGGTTAATGCTGTCAATGTGAAATCATCTGGGAATCAATCACCTGGGCGATGGGGCCTCTGGGAGGGAAGGGCCATCCATGTGGATGGTGCCATTTCCTGGCTGGGATCCTGGACTGTGTAAATGGAGAAAGGGAGCTTAGCAGCACATCATCCTCTGCTTCCTGACTGTGATGTCATATGACCAGCTGCTTCAGGATCCTACCGCCTTGACTTACCCACAGCGACGTCTGAACTGTGAGCTGAAATAAACCCTCCCCCTTCCGTTGCTTTAGTCTTATGTCACAGCAACATAAAGAAGAAGCGAAGCCGTGGTCCTGGATACGATCAACTATTAGTTCCAGTGAAATGCCTGATGTCCTCAGACCAGCCATCTTGAAGCACAGCAGGATGGTGGTTGTGCTTGGATACGTTTGACTTGCCCCGTTTCCTAGAGACACGTGAACTGAGCTGTGTATTCTTTGCTTCCATTAGCGCACGAACTCTGATGGTGAGTGAAACTTCAACCCATGGATCCCCCAGCTCTGTGGCGGCAACAGATAGTGCTGGGAAAAATCAAAGTGGATTTTTAAAACATTATTTACATTTCCATAATTATCATCCTGTTTCAGTTTAAGCGAAAAAAAAAGCTAACGATTTGGGGAAATGTTTCCTAGAACATTTATAATCAGTATTTTTAGTGATTTAAAAATGATAAATATCTGTCCCTTTCTACTTTTTGATTAGCTAGATAAACTGTTATCTTGAGAGAAATAATTAAGCTTAAATTACTAAACAGAACATGCTTTGCGAAACTAGGAAGTGGCATAATTTAACTTACATGCATCATGAGACTGAAAGAATTTAGAAAACTTGGAAAGATTAAGTTCTGATTAGATTTTTGTTTAAGCAAGATCATACCTTTAACAACTGTTTTTTGGGGTGTGTGTATGTGTTCTTTAAAAAATTTATACATGGGGGCTGGAGAGATGGCTCTGTGGTTAAGAACATTGACTGTTCTTGCAGAAGACCCGGGTTCAAATCCCAGCACCCACATGGCAGCTAACAACTGTCCGTAACTCCAGTCCCAGGGGATCCGACATCCTTTTCTGTCCTTCGCGGGCATTGCATGACATGGGTGCACTTACCTACATGCAGGCAATACATGCATACATATAAAATAAAAATAATAAATAAAATAAAAATTTATACATGGAGACATGTGCCCTTCTTATCCAAGAAATTCAAACATGCCTGACCAAAATGCTACCAGGAGCTAGACATGGTGGCACCAGTCTATAATCCCAGCTTCTCAGAAGCCTGAGGCAGCAGTATTGCAAGTTCAAGGCCAGCCTGGGCAACTAGTAAGACCCTGTCTCAAAATCAATAGTAAAAGGAGAACTAGAGACATTGCTCAGAGGACAGAGTGGGGTATTTGCTGAGTAATTTAGGATGAAAGAGATTGTTTAGACAAATAAAATTTTGAGGACTGATGAGATGACCCAGCAGGGAGAGGTGCTTGCTGCACAAGCCTGGTGTCTTGGCTTCAATCCCTAGAACCCGTGTAAGGTGGAAGGAAAGAACAAACTCCACAAAGTTGTCTTCTGACTAAACCATGTGTACTGTGGCATGTGCACCCATGCACACACATCATGTATGCACACGCTATAATAATAAATAAAATTTAAAAAAAAAATTATTTAATGTGTATGAGTGTTTTGCCTGCATGTATGTAAGTGCACCCTGCATGTAATGCCCATAGAAGCCATAAGAGGGCGTCGGATCCCGTGGAACTAGAGTTACAGGTGGTTGTTAGCTTCCATGTGGGTGCTGAGAACTGAACTCAGGGCCTCTGCAAGAGCATCCAGTGCTCTTAACCACTGAACCATCTCTCCAGTCCTTAAAAAGAAAAAGTATTTTAAGTATGAGTTGTTAGTTGGGGCCAGTAGGTGGTCATCAGAAATTTCTAGATCTCAGCCAAGAGAAAGAAAATGGCTAGATTACCCACGGTCTGTTCTTATGAATAAAGTTTTATTGGCACTCGGCCATACTTGTGGCATGAGGCTGCTCTGGTCTCTAACAGCTACAATAGATACCTCCCTAGTCCACAAGGCCTAACATGCAAAGTGGACTCCTGGGCCTTTCCTAGGATGCCCACCTTGGCCTCTTCCCTAACACATTCTCTCTGGAAGCCCAGCTTACAACAAACACACTGTGATGCAGCCTTTACCCTGCGTCAGAGGTAAACACGTTGCCAGACACACTGAGGGGCTTGAAGTAAGTGTGCCTCTGGCTGTGGTGAGCCCATTCTGGGTTCTGCTGCGTCTGGCGTGTTGGCAGTTGCCGTACACATTTGTGAATTCTTGCACTGTAAGATGCTTTCCAGCGCCTTATTTCAAAAAGTAATAAAACATACATTGCAATATTCATGAAGCCGAATCCAGCAATTAACAAGAACAAAACGTGACACTTTGTAGATACTTAATTAGACATTTGTTAATTCTGATCTTGCCAACCTTTTTAGCTATCTGTAAGCCAGCTCTTCCCCATCCTCCAGACCATTTTCCCAGGCTGCAGACCTGATGTTCTGGCAGCACGTGTGAAGGACAGCTCTGCTGCCTCCTTGACGGACGCCTCGGACATGTGACATGGGAACCTCTTCCCTAGATTTCAGATAGCACACACTGTCCCCTTCCCTGCTGGTATCTGCCGGGGTCATTCCAGTCATAGTCACCTCTGCTGACAGCCAGGACTGAGGCTGTGGCTTGCTGGTGAAGCATTAGTTTAGCCTAGGTCCAATCCCAGAGCCACAAAACAAACTTGAAATCCTCAGCTCTATTGACATTATTAAGAGGCATCTATCAGTGCTGGAGAGAGGGCTCCACACTTAAGAACACTTGCTGCTTTTGAAGAGGGCCCGGGTTCAGTTCCCAGCACCACATGGCGGCTTACAACTTTCTTTGGCTGTAGTTCTGGAAGATTCAATACCCTGTTCTGGCCTCTGTGGGCACTGCATGCCTGTGGTGTGCTTGCATAATGTGGGGAAAGAACTCATGCACATAAAATAGAAAAAATGAATTTTAAAAACTTGTAAAGGTTCCTATTAGAGATGCCAGCACCTCAAGGTTTTGGTGAAAATCATTCGACCCCAGTGGTAGTTCTATCGACCGTGAATTAAACTGCTTCTTGCTAATGGTATTGAAGAAGGCACTAGAACAGAAATGGTAAATATTTTCAGGGAAAATATGCTTTTATTAGGAACATTAGTTTCTAAATGACTTGGCATTCCAAAAATAACTGCGGTCTCCATCACTGTTGTTCCTTACATTCGGTAACAACCTTGGTTGCCTGGAATTTCCCAGCTCAGGTGTATGCTGTGCTTGCTTTTATGATTTGCTGAACACAGAAGACCTGGGTTGTTAGGCCTCTGTTTTCCTGACCGGTGGTGGCACACACCTGTGATCCCAGCACTTACTGGGGAGGTGGAGGTCGGAGGGTCACAGGTTCAAGGCAGCCTGGTCCGCAGGCTGGGGTCCTGGCAGAAAAACAAGCGACTGCAACAAAGGCAAAAACCCTCACAGAACGTTCTTCTTCGAAGGGAAATACCAACCATTGAGAGCTCGTTTATGTCCCTGTGGCCGACAGGCAGCAACACTTTCGAAGATGACCCAGCCGGCTGGCCAGGGAGAGGAAGTTCGTGAGACTGGACCTGCTCCCTGGAGGGCTGTCCACAAACTTGCCTTGCCACGGTCTCTTCTGGAGTCCTAACTCCCAGACCTCAAACATTTCTCCATCAAGGATGATGGAGCCAAGATTCAGTGTCCGAGTGACGCCACACACCGCCGTCTCTTCTTTCTAGTGGAAGAACCCGGAACTCACTGTGCGGGAGCCATCCAGGACACAAAGGGCCTCTCTCATCCGCCTGCCAAAGTCATGTGACTCCATTCTGGTCAATGGAAGGCCCTCTCTAGGAAGGGCCCTTACATGGGAGAGATGTGTCTGTCATCTCTTCCCCCTGGTGGGAATGAGGGCGTGAGCGTTAGAGCTGGGGCAGCCATCTTGGGCCTCCTTTCACATGGCAACAGGATGGGACAGAGAGCGGTCCCTGATGGCTCCCACTTCTTCCCTCATTTCATCTCTGCCCCACTTTACTGAGACTCAAAAGGGAGAATTAAAATACTCATTTAAGCCACTGCCTTTGTGTAGAGTCCTTATGGGCAGAGAGAATCTTAGCTACCACAAATACAGAGCACACAGAAGTGAGCAGCAGGAAACCAAGCTTAAGCATGGGGCATCGGCTTGATGGATGTTTGGGTGCTGGGGACTCAAATTCTGTGGGCGAGGGAGCCGGTGACCCCAGCCAGCCAGAAACAGCGTTTCCTAAAACTAACCCTCTGTTGTCTTCTGTTGTCTTGCAAAAAGCTGCCTGTGCTCTGGACTGGACCGCAACAGGAAACGGCAGGGGATGTTTGGGAGGTAGGAGCATCAGAGGCCACCTGTAGCAGCCATGCTCAGAGAGGGACGCAGACTCTGGCTACAATTGGCCAGGAGATGAGCGAGAATGAAGGACACAGCTGTGCTGATGGGGCTCTGCGATCTGTATCCGCCAGGAGTTGGGCAATTGGGAGCTTGAAAGGGTTGAAAACAGCGATTGCTGTGTCTTTCAAAGGACACCAACCATCAAAGAAGCATTTACAACGCAGCACACTTAGAAAATAAGGACAGTTACCGTCCCAGGGATTAGAGACCGGAGTGGGACCCCCTCTGAAGGTCCTTCCCCCTGAGCTGTGCCAAGGCATGGGTGCCATGGAGCGGAGACAGGTGTGGGCAGAGTGCTGGAGGAGATGCATTACCTGGGTAACCAGCACCCCGGTAGAACGCAGAAGCAGCACCCTCAGAGCCCGTGCCAAGAGGG